CTTATCCAGTTAGGTTGTTCAAATATGGCCTTTGAGGTTTCATTCGTTTACTTGTTTCCTTCTTTGTTTCCTCACCCTTTTGTAGATAAGTCACAGTTTACTGCACTTGCCCTGTGGCTCAGAAAGGTAATAGATTTCTCCAAGAAGGCCTATACTTGCGTGTCCTGTGCACTTGGCATATGGCAGCCTGCTATGTTGTCCTCTAAGCCATAATTTGTCAAACAAATGAACCTGATTTCTCATGGTCCATTTTCAGCACTGATTGGTTACATAGAAAGAAGAGAGCATGCTTCTTCCCCCTCCTGCACAGTAGAAGATATTTTTGATAAAACATACATTATCATAGGTGCAAGATCCAAAAGGCATAGAGTCAAATAGAAAATTTCATGTGGAACATAAAAATGTATGACTCTCCTGTTTGGGGATCCTCACTTTTGAGAGAGATTTCTATAGTACCTAGTTGTGAGTGAAAGACGACTTCTCGTCTTCCTTTCCTTCATTAGCCCAAGCAACGTTATGCATGCACTCTTTCACACTCCACGGTCCTTCATTGCCCACTTGTTACATATACACACTGTATTTTGTATGCCAGTCAGTCTCTCTCCCCCTTCCCCTCCCCCCCCGATTCTTATCATCACAGGAAAATTTAAGATGGCTAGGTTAGAACACAATGGGGCTGGTAATAACTACATGGTTTCCCCCCGCCGTTAAATCTCCAGAAATCCTGCCTCATGGACAGTGGCGTTGGAACAAGTTTTATAGCGGGGGTGCTGAAAGCCATTGACTAAAACTGTTAAGTCTGTATATGATGGAAGCCACTTCAAGCCAGGGGGTACTGCCACACCCCTAGTTCCAGCACCCTGCTCATGGAAGGAAGAGCCTGCTTGGTGTTCACCTTTAAATGAGATTGGGTGGTGAATGGAAAGACCTCTGTTAGATCCCTGCCTATGGTGGAACAAAAATTTTAAAAAATAGAAAATAAACCCAATATATCCCTTTATGGCTATATACAGGTATGCAAGCACTTATTTTCCACAAACCATTTAATGAAAATTAAATCTAGTCCATCAAGGTGAATAGGAAGGTGTAGCACCTATGTACTTTCCCATATGGCTTTGTGTGGATATGCTTATTATAGTGCTGATACTGATAACGCCATCTTTTTGTGCTAGTCTTTCATGTTTTTTCCTGTCTTACATGGTCTTCTATGTTTATGGATGGCCTTTCTCTCGCTAAATGGTATCAGCATACCTTTGTCAGGCATGTGGTGTTTTGCTTGTGTTTAGCACTGTATATAATTTGACCTACCACTTCTGTCTGATATCTCAAATATTTACTCATATATTTTCAGTTTCAAAATGTAGCTATGGTTTTCTTCCGATGTGCGTACTAAGCTATGCCATTCTGATAATGCTGTGATCCTGCAGAGATGCAGCATGGAATGAAGGTTGGAATGCTGCAGAGTGGCTATTTAGTATCACACATCACTGTTATATGACAAGGATACAATTATATCAGAAATCCTTTATAGTACCATATAAAAATTGCACCTAATGTCTAATTCCCAGCAGGTGGTTTTATGGGTCTTGAAGAAAGCATATATACCTCTGTTCAGTAATAACATACACACTTCGTATAATTAAAAAAGGCTACTATTTTTAATTTTACTCATTAAATATATCCATACTGAAACACCAGATGCAATCCTTTATGGATTCAGCTAAGTTTGAGGACTTTCTTTACTGACTTGTATGGAGAATTTTCACTTGGACTCATTTGTAAAGATTTTGGAAAAAACGTGACATTTTTATCTGCAAAATTGCCCTTAGAAATAGAATGGTTTGCTCATATAAAGGATAGCTATGCCCATTCCCACCTATTTATATTGCTATTCAAGTTACCCCATCAACCTGTGTGCTAAAAAATGTATCATTCTTAAAGTTAAATCCCACAAAGTATACCGTTAGTATGTTTTGTGTACATTTATGTCGCTTTAATTTTTCAAAAATGTACTGTTTGTTTTGTTGGGGACCAAAACCTTTTTTTAATTAAAAAAATTCTTTTCTAATTTAACTTTCTTTTTCTCAGTTGTAGAACAGAGTTAATATAAATGTATTCCTATCGTGTGAATTGTCAGAATTGTGCCAATGGTGGAACTTATTTTGAAAAAC